TCTGGCAGGAGCACAAAACTCTCACTGATATTTATATAGCATATGATTGTAATCAGCAGATCTTCTCTATCAGTTTCTGGATCTGAAGTCTCAGCTTCTAGGATTTCTATAATAATTTGTAGTCTTCAAAGATCAGATATCCGGGCTGGATAGAACCGAAATAATTTTCTTGGTCACAAAGATTAAGGAAACTCATCGTCTCTGTGGTGAGGAAGGATTGGAATTTGGCAATACAAATGCCACTGCTAAGTAAACGGTGCAAAAGCTTCCTTATGAAATCTCACTTTGCCATTAACATAATGTCCTGTGCAATGAGACAGCACAGTGGGTGGCGTCCAGTAACCCCTGGACATTCCCCCTTGGGACCAGCCCCTCACACAATGCCTCTTACTCTCTTCCCCTGAGTCCTGTGCTGAGCTATTTATTTGAATTTAACAAGAATAGGGGCTTTCGGACATGGGGGTGTGTCTTTCATAGGGACTAACTTTAGGACTGGGAGTGTCCGGGGTACCAGCTTTGGGGCACAGAATGGATCAAGGTTAATTACATTAGGAAGTAAGCTGGCTTCCCTTGCATGGTGGTGAGCTGAGGAGTTACCCTATAAGCTACTTGCTTTGCTGTCACTTTTGATTTCCCATTTAAAAGAGGAACCAGAAAGTAGATTAAGCAAGATTAAGTTAGTTAAATGTGTATTTAATAAAAAGGCAGAAATGAAAACTGATCATTTTAGCAAAAAGGATTTAAATCCTGTTCAACACAATGACTCCCAAAGCCAGAGTATGTTGCCCAAGTTCATCTGGCTATTAAATGGCTACTTTGGAATTATAAGCAGTTCTGCCTGCCTCCAGAACTCATGTCTGTAGCCTCTGCATTGTATGACCTTTGTAAGGATGATTCCAGAATTGTATAAAACACAGATTGAAATTCCGGGTTACACGCACAGCCAGGGCCAGCTTTACTGCCGGTGGGGCGCTGGCATTCAGGCAGGCAAGACCAGAGGTGCAGCGGGGCTTTCAGGGTTTCCTCTCATGGCTCCATTCTTTGACTGCTGTTGTCTGTCCCTCTCCCTTTTGAAATTCTCACTTCAGAGGCCTGAAGAAGGAGAGGGAGCCCCAGACTCTGTTGTGCCTGAGGGAGGTCACAGCATGTGTCCTTGGGCTGCTGCCTGTCCTTTAGCATCCACAAGGGCCCGCAGCTGGAAGGGCTGCTACTTGTATTTTTTAAAAAAAAAAAATCAGGATTCTTTTCCTGACAATGATTAGAATGTTTTTGCAATTGTGAGCCTCAGTGGCAACCCCCCCTCAACCCAACATTAATAATAATCAATCAATAGATAATAGACCCTGTGCATGAACACCTATAGTTACAGAGAACTCATGGTCTCTGGGCAACCTGTTCCTTAGGTTTTCTCATAATAGGTTGAAAAAAAGCTTTCTGTTTTGTTTTCTCCTCAGGAATCCTATGAAATAACTTTATTCTAAATGACTGAAGACTGTGCTTATGGTTTGTTAACATCAAATCCTGGATCTATTCCTCATTTTGAACTCCTTCTCTAACTTGGCTATCTCTGGAGGGGGTGGCAGATAAAGAAATGACAGCAATGCTGTTGTTTACAGATAGGTATAGATGCACAAAGGACAGTGCAGCCAGATCCTCCAGAGAAAATCAGCGGCTCAGAATGTCAGTCCTTGCCTTCTCAGAAAGCATAACCCTGTGGCTTTTGCCTGTACCACCAAGTTCCAAAGTTAATGTAGGTTCACATGGAGAGCCTCACCTCTCAAGAGTGCCTGGAGTGAGGTTCTGGCAAAACAACCCATTCCACTGTTGTGGTGGTGGGCCCTTGATTGATCTGGGGTCCTATCAGCTCTTCATATCATCCACAGATTATGCAAACCCCAAGTAGACAGAACACTGCTGATTACTCTCTTAGAGATCTGACTCTCTGCTCCAGCTCATATAAGACAATGTAGACAGGACAGACAAGAGATGGCGTTTCTGATGATTTCAAACTCAATGATGTTCTTTGACCATCAATACAATCATTTGTTCATTCACTCAGAGTCAACAGTCATTTATCACCTTCCGAGAAGTACTGGAAAACTCAGATGGTTTCCTATTTTCTTGGACCCCACTGTAACTGATCTATCCAGTTGTTCGTCATAAGGGTTTCACCTTGATGTTCAGCCAGTGCAACAGGCAGCTCAGTCTTCATTAGAGTACCTGACAGTGTCTTCTCCACTCTTACATGTGTTATATATTCATGTTCTCCGGTTATCTTCTTCCATATAAGGCTGGGCTTCCTGCTGTGTCCAGCACCACATCTAAATCTTATTGATAGCCTCTCAATTTCCTAAACTCCTTAGCTTCTGAAACTTCCACCTCCACATCCACCCTCTTCCAACACTTTAACTTGGACCATTTTATTGCCCCAAGTTCCCCTCTAAAACCTCACACCCTCCTCTCCAAATTTCCCATCCCTTGAATTTTCTGACTTTCTCTGGCCCTTTCTCTCTGAGCTCCCTTTTGCTATGACTCATTCCTGTTTTCAGTTTTTATCAACCCATTTCCTGATCTTAAGTCTTGTAGGCAACTAGACTTTCTCTCTCAGCCTGAACCCTCTGACTTTCTCTGCTTCCCAACATGCTTTCCTTACACATTCCCAAGTCTGAATGTCAGGCAGGAATCTCACTGCCCATCTTCTGACTGCAGCCTGAGGGGGCTCACAACTGGGCGCATGGACACCCCTTACCAGCGTGGGTTTTCAATGCAGTGCTCAAAAAGAGTCACTTTACGTGTCCTTATTCAGGATTCCTTTTCTTTGTAGTGATTATTTCAGTGATTATTTCATTTTTAAAAAACTTCCCTGCCCCATCTAACTTGCCTCCCTCATTTTAAACAAGCGTCCCAAACAGTAGTCTGCTGCCTTACATCCACAATTGCTGACGTTCACGTTTACTGTCACCTTCTGTCACACTTCTGCCTTCCAGACATCTGGGAATTGCCTTAAAGCACTAGTTGTCATATCCAAGAGCAAAGTCTTCTCATAAATTCAACCATGTCTCTCATTTCCATTCCCTTCCCTCAATATTCCATGCAACCGTGTTGGTTCAGATCCTCCTCTGTTCTGTCTGCAGCAGGCCCGTGCTCTCTGCACAACTCTCCTTGGTCCCAGACTTCCCCCAACTAGCTCCTCCCCCACCTTGCGGCTGGACCACACATGCTAACATGGCTGACACCCGCCAGTGGTTTCTTGTGTCCTATGGGATAATGTCTTTTCTGATGGAAAAAGTGTCCTTTACTTTCATTTTCTTGACTGCTAGTAAAATGCTGTATTGGAAGAGAAAACTTTTTTATTTATTTTCCCTCTCATTTTCATTCACTCAGTTTTCCATTTGAGAAGGGTAGAAAATACGTGGGTCATGAGGACTGAACTCTTTGGTGAATTTGTCTTCCCCAGGCCACAAGAAGTCTTTTCTCCTCCAACTGAAAAGGTAGATGTATGGGATCTTGAATTTCAGTTGCAGTCTAGGGTCCAAAGATGAATCTAATCTACATCCACCAACAGTATAGCTGATTTTTGAGACTTTTCTGAATCCTGTGTCTATTATTGCATCATTTCAGAACCAAAGGCAGAAGGATGTGAGTAATCAACATTCACAAATTTCTTCATTAATAAACCCTCCATCATCTGGACCTTGTTGTATCATCTTGTGTCTTTACCTCTCAACCCCAGTGTTCTCTGACCCCGCCCACCAAGCAGACTGCGATCTAGCCATTGAAATCTGCCAGTCACTGCTTAAATGAGTAATGTTGTTCATTTGTCTGTGTCTGCATAGCAAAGCTTTTCCCATTCTGATTCTCCATGCTTCTCATCCTTTAACTCCTGCTCAGTGTCATCATGTCTGTGAAGTCTCTCATTAGCCCCCAAGGATGGGTGGACATTTTCTGTATTGTGTCCCCCAAATTTTTTGCTCTTTTCCTCTAACAGCTGTCTTCACATGCTTTTATATTTTCTGGACCAAAATCTTTTGGAGCAACAATTTTTCCCTTTGTCAGTAATTCATCACTGTACTCCACCCATCATATTGCCTGGCACTTTTGGCTACTAAAACCTTTTTGTTCTAAATATAATAATAAACAAATGAAGAAATACAGGCTTAACAATAAATGTCTATAGTGAACCAGGTTTTGTGTTGAGTACCTGAATATTGGAAAGAAATGAAAACATCTCATTGTGTCAGAAAAGTTACCCTGCTTGAAAGAGCAGGGAGTGATGCTAGCATCTGTGTGTGAGCCTTCTAGACTTAAATAGCTCTTCAAGCATACCTATGTTCAATGATGCAGCAATGCAGTGGGGCTTGAGAATCCTGTGGGTCTTGCTACTCAATCTATCAATCCTTTGACCTAAGAATGTCTTGAGCTCATTACCACATGGATCTATTTTCATCCAGCTTCTGAGGACAAGTGTACACTAGAACAAGCACAGAAGAAGTGCAGATCCAAGTATGGGCCCTCTGCTTAGCACTGGAAAAGCTGGTTTGAAGGTAATAAAGGCAGGTCTGGATGCAGAGATGGACACCTTGACTCTGGATTATGGTACCCCCAGATTCCCCTAGGGGAAGCTCTGGTTTTATTCGCTGGCCTCTTGCTTCCACCTTCTCTAGGCACTTCCCCTGGAATGAAGGGATCAAAGCTGGCACCTGCCCCCATGAGACATATCTGGAGGTCAAACATTACCTGATCTTCTAATGTGGCCCTGCCTCTTCTTGTGGAAACAGTGCATATAGTGAAAGGACTGAGGCAGAGATGAATGGCTCTGGGGTTATAGCAGAACTAAGTCATGACAACCTGTGTTTTTATTGTTTTCTTTTATTTTGAGTATCTTTGTGCCAGTTGCAACCTCCTCCCTTCCTCTGGAGAGATGCTGAATTCAGCAAGTCTAGCTCCAGCAGTTCTGCTCCCTGAACCCACTGGTTTCTGGTCACCTGATCATGCTTCTGTGAAGACATGGTCTGTCTTCCTCTCAGCTCAGCACACTTCAGTGAAAGCAGAGTATTGCTGCTCTGGGGTCTGCTTTCAGCTTTAAATTTTGGCTCTTCATCCACAGCTACCTAGATGATGGCTTTGCTGTTCTCCTTGATCCTTGGTGAGTGCCCCTGCTCCTGTCGGCTTAGGCTTTCAAGCATTCTAGAACTCTCAGAAGAGAATCCCCTCTTTGCCCAGATGCGTGGTGCTGACCCAGGTATCTTTCACACAGAGGCTTCTTCCTTCTCTACATCTGGCAACTGTTCTAAACCTACAAAGTCACTTAATCTACGCCTAATCTATAATCCACTTTATCATTTTTTTATTTACTATATTTATAGTGAAAAATTTATAATAGTTTACCTCCTTTAACTTTTTACATACAACTCTGTAAGTATTTATTCAGGGATTTATAAAAACACAAATGAATGGAACTTGGATAGCAGCAGGTAGAGCAAGAAAATAAAATAAAATTGTAAGACCAATAACTTTCCTTGATGATATCTATTTTCCTCTCAAAATTGCTTTGCATAATGCTTCCTTAGTTTGCACTAGTTTCTAAATTAACCTAGAGCAAACTGGGATTTTATACTTAAAAGGACAGACTTTCCACCTTGACTCTTGGAGTTCTCAGCTGTCTGAATTTTTAAAATACCATATATTTCTGCAATCTTGCTTCCCCAGACGTTTATTAAGAGCCTGTAACTAAGAAAACAAGCTTATTTTTATTGTCCTGATGACCTGGTATATCACCTAAGCCCACACTGATCTCTCTATTAGATGCTTATGTGGTCTATGTAGAGTGCTGGCCCTATTCTTTTCTTTTTTTTAATTTTTAAATTTTTTTAAAAAAGATTTATTTATTTATTTATACAAGCACTGGGTACAGTCAGAAGCATGGGAGGGTGAGAGAATTCACCAGAGCTAGAGCGGGGAGCAGAGCAGGCAGAAGGACCGAAGTACATTGCTGAGGGGAGCAGCAGGCGGCAGGAGAGGTCTGAGTGCTATGTGGGACCCTCCTCTGGTGTCCAGGGAGCAGCTGGGGATCGAACCGGTGCTGCAGAGGCTGCGGGCAGCTTCGCAACCCAGCGCTCAACCGCTGCGCCACCAGGGAGGCCCACTGGCCCTATTCTTAAACATTGATGCACCCCCCCCCGCCCCATGTCACCTAACAGCTAGCTACTCTTTTTTAGATTAAATTAAATTTAATTATATATATATTTTACATAATTTTCCATTTCTGTATGCATTTTCATCTTGGTTATAATCCCCATACAATTCCCACCCCCCTTATTTTGACTCTAATCCCTCCTCTTCCCCACCCCCCGTAGTGTGTCTCTGGTTTATAGTTGCTTGTTGATTTTGATTTTCACTTTATTATAATTACTCTATATCCCAGTCCCTTGTCCCTTATTTAGGTTTTCTAAATTCCTGCTATGAGTGAGACCATCTGGTATTTTTCTTTTTCTTTCTGGCTTATTTCGCTGAGCATGATCCCTTCCAGCGCCATCCATGTTGCTGCAAATTGCATGTGTTTATCTTTTTTGAATGCTGGGTAATATTCCATGGTGTATATGTACCACATCTTCTTGATCCACTCATCTATTTCTGGGCATTTGGGTTGTTTCCATAGCTTAGCTATTGTGAACAGTGCTGCTATAAACATAGGGGTGCAGGTGCTCTTTAGAATTAATGTTTCTGTGTGCTTTGGGTAAATCCCTAGGAGTGGAATTGCTGGATCATATGGAAGCTCCATCTTTAGCAGGTTGAGGAATCTCCAGACAGCTTTCCATAGTGGTTGGACCAGTTTGCACTCCCACCAGCAGTGCAGGAGAGTTCCTTTTTCTCCACACCCTCGCCAAAATTTGTTGTAGCTAGTTTTTTTAATACATGCCATTCTCACTGGTGTAAGATGGTATCTCATTGTAGTTTTGATTTGCATTTCCCTGATTACAAGTGATGCTGAACATTTTTTCATGTGCCTGTTGGCCATTTGCATTTCCTCTTTGGAGAAGTTCCATTTTAGCTCTTCTGCCCATTTTTTGACTGGATTATTTAATTTGTTTTTGTTGAGTCTCTTCAACTTTTTGTAGATTTTTGTGATCAGTCCTTTATCATTAGTGTTGTGTGCAAAAATTTTCCCCTAGTCGGTGGGATGTCTCTTAGTTTTGGTTACTGTCTTTTTTGCTGTACAGAAGCTCTTTTTTTTTTTTTTAAAGATTTATTTATTTATTTATACAAGCACTGGGTACAGTCAAAAGTGTGGAAGGGTGAGTGAATTCACCAGAGCCAGACCAGGAACAGAACAGGCAGACTGATGAAATACACTGCTGAGGGGAGTAGCGGGAGTGGCAGGAGAGGTCTGCGTGCCATGTGGGACCCTCACTGGCCGCCGGGGATGGAACCGGCGCTGTAGAGGCTGCGGGCAGCTTCACAGCCCAGCGCTCAACCGCTGCACCACCATGGGAGGCCCTGTACAGAAGCTCTTCAATTTGATGTAGTCCCAGCCTAACAGCTACTCTTGATCATCATGGACACACTACTGAATCTCCCAGGTTCACCTTCAGTTCCCCCTCCTTCATGAAGCCTCTCTGACCTGTGCTGCCCATAGCTATCCACCCTGAGGGAGAACTTCCACACCTGCTATAAGCTTTCAAATTTATGTCACTTCCACACTTGCTTTTCAGGCTTGGTGTGTTCAGTTCCCTTCACATGTAAACATGTTGTGTGTTCTTCACCAGACATGTGGGTGTTGTGTATAATATAACCTTGTGGTTTAGACAGTTGCACACATGGTCTCACTGAATCTGTGGGTGATCACACCCTAAAGATTAAGGATATGGGCTTGTTAAGAAATATTTGGAAGCTAAGGGAAGAAAATATTTCAAGTAAGCCACTGAAATACTTGGTCTGCCTGAAAAGCTCTAGCCTGGAGGGACAAAGACATTAGCTCCTTCAGAAAGAACCTAAGGGGGGGTGAGGGCATCCAGGTCTGCAGATCAATTACGTAGGCCTCAGTGAACACTGGCGGGCACAGGGCTCAGGGTTCCACAGCATTAATAGGGAACCTGATGGGTAGAGGAGCTCATCACTCAGAGACCTGTAGGAAGGAACTCAAATGTCTTGAAGAGGTGCTGGTGCTTGAACCTAGATGTTTGGAACTAAATGGAGAGCTGCTTTCTGGCCCACTGACCAGGGTTTGGCAATGTGCAACCCAGAAACCAAGAGTCATTTTAACATGTTTAAGTGATGGAACAAAATCAAAAGAATGTGAAAATGACATAAGTTTAAATTTCAGTGTCTTTAAGTAAAGGTTTACTGGAACATGGCCATGCTCACTCATTGCATATATGTGCCTGCCCTCACGTCACAAGGGGAACTGGGACAAGTTGTAACAGAAACCACATGCCCACAAAACTTAAAATATATAAGCTCTGGCCCTTTATAGAAGTTTGTTGATCCTAAATGCAGTGCTAGTAAACATGACAGATCCTGCCAGTCTTCCTATTCTCTGCTTGCCCCTCCCTGGCACTTTTACCTTCCTCTACCACTATGTCTTCCCAGGGCTTCCAACATGCTCTTCTCTCGAGACCAGTGGTTACATCACTAAAATAGAAACCCAAGTCTATCCATGGCCAGTCACCATCAAATGTGGAGAGACACAATGGATCAGTTTGCTGGGGTGGGATTGGTGTATGAGGCTCCTGGGCAGTGCTCACTTTTCCTGTGAGGCTGGCCATTCCAGGAGAAGTTCCTAACAGGGCTGTATCAATCACTGTAACTATCTCACAGTATTTGGTAGACGCCTTCTAGATGGTTATGGTTATTTGAGCAAAACTTTGGGAATTGGCTACATGACCTCACTGACTTCTCTCTTTTCTCCCCAGCCATTTGCACAGGACCTGGCTTTTCAGGTAAGATATTTTTAGGGTTTCAAGAAGAAGGCCTTCAAGCTCCAGAGACTGGAAATTTTGAAGTTCCTTGGGTCATGGAGAGAGGTGCTGGTTCAAAATAGTTCCTGTAGGGTTCCTTTTCATTTCCTGTGTCGCCCACTCGGTCTTAATGTGAATAGATTGCTAGCTCCAGCACATAGGAGGAATTGGTGTGGCTTATCTTGCAAGGGAGTTTCTTCCCCAGTTGACCTTCATGGCCCGACTCTTGAGCACCTTCAAGTAGCAGAGGACTTTGTTTCAGGCTCAGAGGACAAGTTTCCTCTCTCCTTGTGGCCATATCTGCAAGTGAGTTTCCTTTGGCCCTCTGGGTTCTTCCATTTCTAAGTTCCTCTGCCAGTCTTAATGGGGCCTTCAAATTAGAAATGTAGCTTTCATGTAGCATGTGGACTGACAGCAGCCTGAAAGCCACCTCTGGAAGTTTTTTGTTTTTGCTTGTTTTTATTGCCGCAACACTGGTTTACAACACTGTAGATGATTTAGAATGTGAGGAGTCTTTGGGCAATGTCCACACTGCTTGGTTGAGGAGGGAAGGGGCTGCACAGAGAGAATAATTGTGGGAGGAAGGCTGCGGTGGTCCAAACTCAGGGGGTTGGTTGTGGCTTGTCTGTCTCCTACATTATCCCTTCAGCTTACTCTTCTCTCCATGACAGAGGCTTTCCCAGAGAGGGGCAGCTGCAAATGTCACTGTGGGTGTGCAACCTCCTCCACCATGTGGGTGCAGCTTGACCCCTCCAGGGTTGCTGCGTCTGGGTGCTCAGCCTGACACTCAGATTACTTAGAGGTTTTTCAGTCTCTCACAACTGGTACATGGAGACAACTGCCCTCTTTGGGGTCTCCCCACATCCCAGTATATTGCTTCTGCATCCTGACCCCTCCATCTCTCCGCTAGTAAAGCACAACCCAGGACACAGCTGCCCAGGTGGGCCCCTCCATGCTTCTCTCTAGATTCCAGTTCTTTTCTCATCCCTTCTGAGATTTCATTTATACTTACTCTGTTTCTTTCTTCTGTACATATTTCTCCTTTCCTAGGAGGTGCTCAAATCCTCCACTTCATGGAAAATAAAAACTCATTTAAAGCAAAAATTTTTAATTCAAAATCAAATAAAATAACCTAAACATGACTCTGACAGCTAATACTCACCAGAGTCCATAATGATGCCAATCCAAATGCTCATCTTGGTTACAATGACCCAAAAGTTATTTCTAGTTGACGCCTCTGAACTTATATTTTTACTTAGATATATACACCTACACTTGGGTATTCAAAAAGTGAAAACATTTCTTAGTTTTTTGCAGACATAACTTAATTTCTATCACTAGCCATCTTTCCTCATCTTGCTCCCTCCAAAATATAATGGGAGAAGAGGAGAGAAACTAAATGTATAAACCCAAACCTAAACATCTTAATACAGTTTAAAATTAGCCAGGTCAGAGTTTTCTCATTCAAATACTTCTTCTGGGGTTGTTTCCAAGTTCTGGAGAGTTTGTGCAGGGTTGAGACAAGCAGCGACATTGGGGAACCTGGTTCTCAGAAGTCATCTTCTATTCATGCAAGAAGCCCTGCCACGTGGCTCATGTTGACATATGTTACACTGTTCATATCTCACAGGACACAGACTTCTAGTTGATATTTGGCCCCTTCAGGAGCACCAGAACCCTCTGGACCTCCCCAACCCACTCCGTGGAGGTGTGGCAAATTCAGATTTTCTGTGTCACTCTGAGGCTGCAGGACACGTGGTGGGATTGCCTCAGACCTATAACATTTAATCTCCTTAAGGGCAGCAATTTGATGATCTTGTTCCTCACCATTCTCTGAGTCATACAATACTATCTGGGAGGCAGTATCTGCTCAGCAAAAGTTTGTTTCCTGATGGGCTCTTTGCTGGTTTCCCTGCAGTTATCTCCATTCTCTGTCTGTGTCTTGGTGAAAGGGAGAGCTTTTCTGGTAGTATTTCCCAGAGTGGTAGTCGGGGAGCAGAAACCACTTCTTTATTATTTAGACTTATCTGGAGGACTCGTGGAGCCTCTCTCCCACCTCCAAACCATAGAATCCCCTAGAAGTTTTGGGGCTCTGAGACTTTGAGCCTCTGGATCTTCCCTTGTTAGTGTTTACTGTGTTTCTTCTAAATTGAGTTCTTGGACATAGGAAGCAGCAAGGATGTACAGGGGTGGATGATTGGCTGTTGGGGGACAGGAGAGAGAGAGAATCAGGTTGTTCAGCTCAAATTCTATCGGGACATTCTGTCCCAGTCTGGCTGCCATGGGGAGAGAGTCATGATGAAGAAAGATCACAATAGATATTATCTTTACATTCATGTTTTCACCTGGGGACTTGACTATCTGATAGAATTACTGTATGGTCTTTATTTCTATGAAGAACATATTCTTTATCTGTGAAATAGTGGGGAGGATTTTGATGGCCTCTGGAGGACCTTACAATTTCTCTGCTAGAAATTCTAAGAACTCTACTGGATCTTCATCAGTCTCTTTCTCTTAATCTTCAAACTCAAATGCTAGCAGTCATATTCAGCTATCATGAAGTGGAGTTTCTTGGGAGGTTGCAATTAAGAGTATGGCAGAACCAGAACCCAGAGAGGGAGGTTCTGAAGCTCCTCCCCCTCCCCTTCCCCTTTGGTGTCTCCTGTCTCATTCCCCAACTCCCCTCACCCTCCACGAATAGTGGAAGTGTCCCAAGATAACTGTAAATATATCTGAGTATTCTCTGGGCTACCCCCAGAGATCTCCAGCCACTGTCTCATTTCTTTGCAGAGTCTTCATCCAGGCTCCGACTGGTGGGAGGCCGCCACCATTGTGAAGGTCGGGTGGAGGTGGAACAGGAAGGTCTGTGGGGCACCATTTGTGATGATGGCTGGGACATAAAAGACGTTGCTGTGGTATGCCGGGAGCTGGGCTGTGGAGCAGCCAAGGGGGTGCCCTATGGTAATTTATATAAGCCACCAGCAGCAGAAGAACAAAAAGTCCTCTTCCAAGATGTCAATTGCATAGGGATGGAAGATGCACTGTCTCAATGTGATAAAAGTGAAGATGTTTTTAACTGCCTTCATCAGGAGGATGCGGGTGCATCCTGTGAGAGTGAGTATGCAGAACTTGAGGATCATCTTCCAGCTGCTCACACCCCACTGACCACTCTCAATTGCCCTCACATTTTCTCTATTTTGGGTCTTGGAGAACACATTCTCAGCTAGAATTGCTATTCTTTCTTGCTTTAGTTAATGATTTTTCTCTTAGTTTCAATCTATATACTGCCTATTTCTCTTCTTAGGAGAAGCTCCTTGAGAGCTTCTCAAGGAGCTCGCCATCTAGGTAGGTAGATAGGAGATGCTCATAGGAAACCAACACAACACATCTATAGAGGCATCTACCTGTATCTCTCTCTCTTTCTCTCTCTCTCTCTCCCTACCTACCTACTTACCTACCTACTACCTATCTATCTAATTACATAAAGAGATGAGAGATATTAATATACAGAAAACAAATATATGAACTTAAGAAATATATAAACTATATAAAATTAAGTATAGTTGCTATTATATATACATATATTGACTAGAATTGTTATTCTTTCTTGTTGACGTAATGAATTTTCTCTTGTATATAACTATGTATAAGAGGCTAATAGAAAACCAATACAACACAGTTTTCCCCCCAACATTGAATTCATTTACTCCACTTTTACATATTGGTCCTATGTATCAATAACTTCTCCACTCTTTGTGTATACTTTCTCCCCCATTAGACTGTGGTTTAGCTAAGGAATTAGTCCATGCTTTCTCTTTGTTACCCCACAGTTTGTTACCCATTAAATCTTTGTGCCTTGATGCAAAGGTCTCATTCCTATTTCTTAGAAAGATTGAGGGTTGGGAACACTAATCTGGGATACTGGGGTGATAATGTGAAACTGAACCAAAATATTTTTGGTTTAGGACATGTCGTGTGTGGTTGTTATTGTACTTCATTCTATTTAAAAATATATGCAATGCCTCCACTTGCCTCTTTTAGTAGCACATAAGAACTTGAATGTGAAATGATTTGAAAAATCAAAAATGTTACAGAAATAATGATTCAACTTGGAATTGAGAAATGACTTTCACTCCATCAATTCACTCAGCCATTCTGCAGCAAGCTCACTCTGGTATATATTATACTGTACACTAACAACAGAGAGCTGGAACAGATGCTTCCTCTTTCTTTCCCCACAGTCCTAGAGAGCTTGCGGTTGATTGATGGCCCGGGGCGCTGCAAGGGGCGTGTGGAAGTGAAGCACCAAGATCAGTGGGGTACTGTGTGCATGTCGGAAAGAGGCCTCCCAGCTGCAAAGGTGATGTGCCGACAGCTAGGGTGTGGGAGGGCCACACTGACCCAGAGATGCTGCAAAAAGAATACCCAGGGCCAAGGGCCCATCTGGCTGAGCCAGTTGTCATGCTCAGGACAAGAAAAAAGCCTTGTGGACTGCCCTTCTGGACTCTGGGGGGAGAACAACTGTACCCACGATGAAGACATGTGGGTTGAGTGTGAAGGTAAGTCCTATCTGTCAAGAGACTTTGGTTATTTTGAATGGGATTAAATGGAATTCTATTCAAGCAATGTTCACAGAAAAATACTCAAGCAATAAAGACCATGACAAAGTTACTAAATTGTGCTGTTTGGCAATTTTTAGATTTCAAAAGGAAATAGTAATATCTGCCTTTTTATTTATTTATTTTTAAAAAAGATTTATTTATTTTTGCATAAACTAGCTGGGGTACAGGCCAAAGGTGGGGGGGATTCACCAGAGACAGAGTGGGGAACAGAACAGACAGACTGACTGAAATACACTGCTGAGGGGAGCAGTGGGCGAGACAGGCAAGGTCTGCTGTGCCATGACGGTCACCTCCCCGGCCGGGGATTGAACTCGTGCTGCAATGGCTGCGGATTGCTTTATAGTGCTGCCTCTTAACCCCTTGCACCACCAGGGAGGCCCCCATACCTGCCTTTTTATATGACATTGCTTTAAACAGAATCATGCACTATATTAAAACGAACTCTTATATGGAACTCTATGTAATAGGACAAGGCATACCATTCCATTAATTGTTGCACTTCAGTTTTTAAAACCTATTAGAAAGTACTTATAAATATTAGATTTTTATAAATAGATGAAGAAGTGAAACATTTCTAGGTAAGGGCATGGACCTGGGCCACATGGGAGTGGAAACTAGAGAAGGGATTGTAATTATAGAAAAAATAGGTGGAGAGGTCCAAACGTGCTGATGAGATTTGGACGTAGATGAAAATGATCTTCTTCTTCTTTCCATGCCTTTCTCTGTCCCCTGAATTTCTCCTGTGCCCTACAGATCCTTTCGATCTGCGGCTGGTAGGAGGAGACAATCGCTGCTCTGGACGACTGGAGGTGTTGCACAACGGGGTGTGGGGCTCTGTCTGTGATGACGACTGGGGAGAAAAGCAGGACCAGGTGGTATGCAAGCAACTGGGCTGTGGGGAGTCCCTCTCTCCATCTGCCAAAGTCCGGAAAAGCTTTGGTCCTGGGGTTGGCCGCATCTGGCTGGATGATGTTCGTTGCTCAGGGAAGGAGGAGTCCCTAGAGCAGTGCCGGCACAGGTTCTGGGGATATCACAACTGCAACCACAAGGAAGATGTGGGTGTGGTCTGCTCAGGTGAGTGTTGTAGATGGAGCTCATGAGGACAAGCTTGGGGCGAGGGGTAGAAGTTGGAGATTCTGGGGCGCTCTGCCAGTATCTTGTGGCAGCCATAATCTCACCTACTCTGTGCATGCTTCAAAGTAGGCACATTAATTTAATTAATGAACAGTTAATGAAATAAATCAATGCATAACTAATTTTCATTTTAGGTGCTCAATTGAGTCACTTGAGTAGAAAACAGAATAATCATTTAAAAACATACATATATTTAATGTGAGAACAAAAGGGGTTTTGAAAATCATGGCATCAACATCCTTACATTAAACATGAAAGTGAGAATCAGAGAAAATAAACAGTTTTACAAAATCATAAAAATTGCTTTCAAATAATAGAACAGAACTAAAATGACCATTCTTGACTCTTAAGTCATGGTTCATTCTCTTAGATGACCCAACCCTCAAACCCACATTTAAACTATGGAAGAGATGTCACTCCCCAGATTTTAAACTTAAAAATCTGTGGGAAGGGTGGTAGGTAGGGAGCTCTGTGGAAATGCCCATGATTTGTATTATTAGAAAAGTTGGGATACCAGTCTTAAAGTGTAAATGCCTTTACAGGAATAGAGGAAAAAGCCCTGACCCAAAATACAAGTGTAACCTCTCTCAAAAGAATTGCAAGTTTGCAGTTTACCTTTGTAAACAGAGTGAGAAGCTGCATGTACAAGGTTACTTGGTTAAATACCCTAAACTGGACCGAGGGAAGCGCTGATAACTGACTAAGGGTGCCAGGAGTGTCTTGAATAAAGACTTTATGACAGAAGATGAAGACTAGGTAGGGTCTGAGTCCTACCACTGCCATTTTGAGGTTATGTAACCTTAGATGGTCACTTAACTGCTTAGAAACCAGCTTTTTCATCTGTAAAATAGGGACACATTTGTCCCGTTCACTAAAAAATGTGATTGTGGGAAGATAGGATGTGTTAATATATGTGGATACTGTTTATGACTCACATGGGAGCTGGTTGAATGAGTCCTGGGATGCTGCACAGATTCTGATATGACTCACATCAGAGGGGATTGTGTGTGTGACTTAAACTTTGAGAGCATCTCTATTTCCTAAACTCAATTCTAAATTCTTTAACCGTTTTGAGCTTGAATGACAATCTGTTCCTGGCATGTGCCCATCCTTACTGTACATTCTTCTCTTTACAGAATAGTAACCTGATCTTACTGATGCTTGAATGCCCGCGCTGGACCTGAGTACTTTCTACTTTTTCATGGACCCTGATTGGCCCAGCATGAGCACGGGGCCTGCAGGCTTTATCCACCTCCTCAGCAGGAGTCTGAACACTGCTTATGCTTCCCTTTCAGAGCCAAGCACCCCATCATTGATTGGAGAGATGAATTGTTGAGTTCCTTCCTGATGGGAAAGATGGACTCTCAGTCATTTCTTTATCACTGCTGATTTTTTATCACTGACTGTCCTCTCCTCTCTCATCTCAACATGCTTGAGATCCCCAGACCTGTTACTCTCTGCAATGCAAGCCATTAATAGGCAAGTTGTATGTCTGTAAAGAACATAAAAGGAATGAGACCACTAAAAGAACACTTGAAAGAAAATTTGGTAGACAGTTACATGAAACTTGGGGGGAACAATCTCAGAGTTTTTGAACTCTTTTTCTCAAATTTTAAGTGATTACAACAATTAGTAACACCTCATTTCTCTCCTATTCTTTGGTGAAAGTAGACGATTTTCTCAGGAAGAGAGTAATATTCTGTAATCCTAGACATTTTCATGACACATGGGAGTAGGTGGTGCATCTCCTAATTGCTCCCAACAAAATACCTTTGTTGACTATCTGTATACAACTTGCCATCCTGGTTGGCATTTAACAAGAGTCTCACAGATGCCCTTTACTTTATCCAATGGAAAGTACTTGGGACTGCCTTTGGGAGAAGGGAAATAAGATTAAGTCGAGAACATTTGGGGAGATCCAGAGTTGTGTCTTACACCAATCAGATGATCATTTTCATTTTATGAACCTTGAGGTCAGCAAGTCTGAGTGAGCATTGACAGAATAATACTAACAACATCAAGACAATTCTAAAAATGGACTTCAGATGCTGAGGCTAGGTTGAGTACCTGTATTATACCTACAATAGTGCTATTTAATAAAGTAGAGCTCTCAGTCTCAGCACTTGCCAGTCCATGTGACATTTTTTTCTGTCCATGGGGAATCAGGTGTGTCAGCTTCACAGGGATGGCTCTTTAGATAAGATTAGGTAGAAGTGAACCTATCAGCAGATAGTAACATATGTGTAATGTAGCTCTCTCCTCTGGATGTGGGACTCTCTCCCTGTTTTTCTCTTGCTCCAGCCTGTGAACGCACTCCTGCACTTGAATGATGTAGGTCCAATAACCAACTCTGATGTCAAGCCCTTCTAATCCTATATCAATTTTGCTTTTCGTCTAACAGTGTGTTTATATCTCTTTTCCCAAGACATATCAATCTCTGGCCTCTGACTCTGAGTAAACTGTCATAACAGTTCATCTGTAAAAACTGGCTAAGGAGAAGAAGGGTGTGATGGGCAGGAGAGGCATGGCAATAACTGGGCCCAAGGCTGACTGGAAGTCAAGGGGCAAAGCTGTGACTCCCTGAGTCACTCCCTGTCTAGAGCATTCATTCTTTTAGCACTAGGTTTCAAGAAAACAAACAAACTAGAGCAGGAGAAAAGACCATTAACATTGTAAAACTGAAATGTAATAATGAGGTCTCCTAAAAAACAAGTGAGTCCTTGAGGAAATGCATGGAACGCATAACATTTGGTGACAAACACATGATTGACCTTATCTTAGGGTTATGGTGTATTTGTCAGCTTTGCTCTGCATTACTTAGGAACTATAAGAAACTATGGGCAGAGGGAGCTAGAATCATGCATATTGGCTGTTAGATTTCATGGCTGCTAATGACACTGGAGTGTGTTTCTGCCTCTTAACCACTGCAAGATCTCAATTTGTTGAATGCATATTTAAAAACCAGCAAAAAAATAGGTAGAGAAACCCATCTTCATAGAAGAGAAGGAAATATCTTAATTGACAAAGTGACTGCCTTATATGATTGATTCTCATAGGTCTTCCTTATTTTCCCTATTGAATAGCATTCTGGTCCCTCCATTTCATAGCATCTGGTATCTAAAAGCATGCTGAATTGCCTAGATAGAGTAATTGAAAAGCCCTTTTATCCTAAGTGGAGTAAAAATAAGTTGGGATTTTATAAAAGGAGCTTTGATTTCCCCTTAATTTCTGCATTAGATTTTCTGTCATAAAATCCTTATATAGTTAAAACCTATAGAACCAATCATATAAAAGCAACAGCTCATGGGGGGAGAAGTAAATTCATGCAGAAAGACCTTACAGTAGTCATAGACAGTGTTAGCATGTTCAATAAAAATGCCTCATTAAAGGAGATGAAAGTGGTTTCTTGCCTGCTAGCCCAAGAATATGGCTATTTAATCTTTATATGATATAATAAAATCTTGGCATACACATACCACTATTCTATACTTCCCAGTTCTCTTACATCTAGGTGAGACTGTATGTCCTATTCTCACCATGATAGTGATTTATGACATCTTCACACTAAAATATTTGACAGCAATTTGTCTTCTCCTGGCTCTTCTTGACATTATCTGCTGGCTTGCTAGAGAAAACCCCAATAGTGTAGGACAGGTCAGAACCAGAAGTTGGAAGAAGCTTGAGTCTCTGAGTGAGAGGTTGCAGTCATAATTTAACCCATGCACTGGTGTATATGGTATGAATGAGAGATAAACACAATTTGTATTAACTAAGTCACTGAGTTGTCACTTGAAGACATTTTTGTGTATTTTAAGACTTAGTTTTTTAAAGACAAGTTTTATGTTCACAGGTTTTATGTTATTACCAAGAGGAAGCTATGGAAATTTCCCTTATTCCTTCCCATAGCCTCCTGCATGTAACTGCACAAGCATAGTTGTCACCGTTGTCAACATCCTCCGCCAGACCAGTATATTTGCCACAATTAATGAACCTACATTGACACAAAGTCCTCATGGGGAGTGTGTTTATTGTGACTAGTGCTCAGATCTTGACAGGCCACATTCCTGCTTGCACTGGTGCCCAGACAGAGATTTCAGAGATTCTGGTCTGTTTATTCCTGAGGTTCTTCTTATTTGCAGACCCAAGCCAGGAGCCCTGTCTGGCCAGAGAAATAAGTGGAAGTTCTGCCTGATTTGGGTCCCAAGAATATGGGTCATATAAACAGTGGAGTCTTTTTATAGCACCCTGTCAGGGAAGAACATATGCAGTCTCACTTCACTCACTTCTCTGAGATCAGATCATGACCAATGTCCTTGCCCAATTAGATACCCCAACAAGAAGTCCTATCTGCCCATAGATGCTAGTAGCTGCCTGATCAGCACCTCAAGCTGTATTGAATGGTGAATGTTTTTCTCTGCCAAGGTGAACCAGTAAAGTCTGAAAATGTAAACCACTTACTCAAATGAGCAGATGGCAGTGTACGGATTACAAAAAAATGTGAGCATGACATCACCATAGCAATTTAATGAAACTCCAATAGCTGACTCTACAGAAATGAAGATCATGAGCTGACTTTAAAGAATTTAAACTAATTTTCTTAAAGAAGTCCATTAAACTAAAAATTTAGTTTAGTCAGCTGACTAAAAGAAATTAGGAAAACAATGCACAAACAAAATTAAAAGTTCAGCAAAGAAACAGAAAATGTAAAAGAGAACCAATAACCAACCCAGAAATTCCAGAGCTGAAGAATACAATGACTAAACTGAATAATTTAATAGATAGGTTCAATAGTAAACTTGACCAAGTAGAAGAAAGAATCAATGGACTCAAAAGATAGGTAATTTGAAATTTTCTAGTTAGAGGAGTAAGAAAAAAGAAAGAGAGCAAATTACACAGAAGCAAGTAAATAATAAAGACTGGTATAGAAAAAATAAAAGAAAGAATAGGGCGTCCTTGGTAGCATAAGGGGTTGAACGCAGTACTAAGAAGCTGTCCACAACCTCTGCAATGCGAATTCGATCCCCAACCAGGGAGCTATCCACTTGGAACAACAGACCTCTCCTGGCCCGCTGCTGCTCCCTTCAGCAGTGTACTTCGATCTATCTGCCTGTTCTGTTCCCCCCTCTGTCTTTGGTGGATCCTCTCACCTCCCACACCTCTGGCCTGTACCCCAGTTCTTGTAATCATAAATAAATAAATCTTAAAAAAATAAAGAATAGTAAAACAATGAGGCATTGATTCTTAGAAATGATAAACAAAAATGACAAATCTTTAAGTAGACTAACCAAGAAATATAAAGGACTAAAATATAATTATTATTGAAAATGGTTGAGAGTTGAAATGTCTATTACAAAAGATACACAGAAATACCAAGAATCATAACAGAATATGAACAATAATTTTCTAACAAATTAGACAGTCCTGATGAAATGAATAAGTTCCTAGAAACATATAAACTAGCAAGACTGAATCATGAAGAAGCAGAAGATTTGAGTTGACCTATAAAAGGTAAAGAGATAGAATCATTAGTGAAAACTCCCCCAACAAAAAAGAATTTCAGAACATGATGGTTTCACTGATGAATTTTACTAAAAATTTGAAGAAGTTTTTATGTCAAACATCAAACTCCTCCAATGGAAAGAAGAGGGTGGGACACCTCCAAATTTATTTTATGAGGCCGGCATTACCCAGATACCAAAGTGAGATGAAGAAAGGACAAGAAAAGAGTGTCTTGAGAAAAAGAAACAAAATCAAGGGGATCACACTTCTTGATTTTTAAAATATTTTATTTTATATATTTTTACATCATTTTTCATTTTTGCACAATGTCTGCTTTTTCTTCTTGGTATAGTCCCATACAATTCCCACTCCCCCTTATTTTGACGGTAATTCCTCCTATCCCCCAACCCCCTTTGTAGTGTGTCTCTGGCTTATAGTTGCTTGTTGCTTGTTGATTTTGATTTTTACTTTATTATAATTAGTATTTTTCCTGGTCCCTTATTTAGGTTTTCTAAACTCTTGTTATGAGTGAGACTATCTGGTATTTTTCTTTTTCTTTCTGGCTTATTTCGCTGAGTATGATCCCTTCCAGCTCCATCCATGTTGCTGCAAATTGCATGAGTTTACCTTTTTTTGATTGCTGAGTAATATTCCATGGTGTATATGTACCACATCTTCTTGATCCAGTCATCTATTTTTGGGCATTTGTGTTGTTTCCATAGCTTAGCTATTGTAAATAGTGCTGCTATAAACATAGGGGTATACGTACCCTTTTTTTTTAAATAATAAATTTTATTTTTATATTCCCCATACAATTGCAACCCCCCATTCTGACCTCAATCCCTCCCCTCCTGCCCCACACCCCCCAAAAAGTGTCTCTGGTTCATAGTTTTTTCTTGATTTTGATTTTCACTATCTTATAGTTATTCATTTTCCTGGTCCCTTATTTAAGTTTTCTAGATTCCTGCTATGAGTGAGACCATCCGGTATTTTTCTTTTTCTTTCTGGCTTATTTCGCTGAGCATGATCCCTTCCAGCGCCATCCATGTTGCTGCAAATTGCATGTGTTTATCTTTTTTGAATGCTGAGTAATATTCCATGGTATATATGTACCACATCTTCTTGATCCAGTCATCTATTTTTGGGCATTTGGGTTGTTTCCAAAGCTAAGCTATTGTAAATAGTGCTGCTATAAACATAGGGGTGCAGGTGTTCTTTGGAATTGATGTTCCTGTGTCCTTTGGGTAAATACCTAGGAGTGGAATTGCTGGATCATATGGAAGCTCTATCTTTAGTAGCTCCAGAAATCTCCACACAGCTCTCCATAGTGGTTGGACCAGTTTGCACTCCCACCAACAGTGCAGAAGAGTTCCTTTTTCTCCACACCCTCGCCAACATTTGTTGTTGCTAGTTTTTTTAATATGCCATTCTCACTGGTGTAAGATGGTATCTCATGGTAGTTTTGATTTGCATTTCCCTGATTACAAGTGATGTTGAACATTTTTTCATATGCCTGTTGGCCATTTGCATTTCCTCTTCAGAGAAGTTTCTTTTTAGCTCTTCTGCCCATTTTTTGACTGGATTTTCTTTGTTGTTGTTGAGTCTCATCAGCTCTTTGCAGATTTTTGTGATCAGTCCTTTATCATTAGTGTTGTGTGCAAAAATGTTCTCCCAGTTGGTGGGGTTTCTCTTTGTTTTTGTTATTGTCTCTTTTGCTGTGCGGAAGCTCTTTAATTTGATATAGTCCCAGCTGTTGATCTTTGCCTTCACTATCACTGCTTTGGGTGAGGTGTGTAAAGATGTCTTTGATGTGCATATTACGTAGTGTTTCGCCTATATTTCCATCTATGTATTTTATGGTTTCAGGTCTTATGTCTAGTTCTTTAATCCATTTTGAGTTGATTTTTGTGTATGGTGTGAGGTAGTGGTCAAGCTTCATTCATTTGCATGTAGCGACCC